AAACTACTATATTAATGTATTGTTTATTAACAAGAAAATTTATATTAAGCGTGACAGGAACATGATAATTCTATGACGATTTGTCCAAGACTGGGTTGAAAATTTATTCTAACTTAAAAAGAATTAAGAAAAAAACGCAAAAAATTTATAGCCACAGGCGAGTTTAAGCCTTGTACCCAAAGCACGTAAGACACATGTGTTGCTGAATCGGTAACCTCACGTCGCTTCCGTCTACCGAAAAAGAAAGCAATTTAAGCTAAATCAAATTTTAAAGTTATTTTAAAATAAAATACAAAACCAATTTTTTTTTTTCAAATAAAGTATATGACATAATCTTTAGTTTAAGTTATATATAAACGTGTCAGTATTTCCGAACACATTCAAAAGTTAAGTAGAAAAAGTTAATTTTTTGTGAATAACTTATCATTTTGAATCCCCCACTGTGGACAGATCTATAAAAAAAAATACATCAAATAATAGATAAAAATATCATGCATCTTTTAAAAAAAATTATATCGATTTTTTCATTTTCGAAAAGTTATCAGGGGCGTATTCACATATTTTTTGTCTATAGCAGTTTTAACTAAAAGATATTGAAAAAAATTTAAAAAATAGTGATTTTAAAATTTTGTAATTTTTTTGGAGATTCCCCCCATTTATGGGGAACGAGGAAAATTTTTTCAATTTTTGAGGGTATTGTCTTCGACTAGATACGATTTGTGATCTTTTAACAAATTTTTGAAAGAAATCGGTTCGGTGAGAGCTGAGAAAAAGTCGTAACAGACACAAAAGAAAAAAACCCAGCACAGTGGGGTCGCGGCATAGTGGGGATGTTGCATAGTTGGGTCCAGTATAGATTTAATCTGACAGTGATTAAAATCACTATCATAAGAAACGCTTCGATGCAAATCAGTAGATAGTGTTTAATTCTAAGAAATTGGTGGATAATTACAAAAGCTACATTATCTGCTAGTTTCTTATTAATACCCTGATTAAGATAAAGTATGTCGAATGAAAAAGGGATTATTAAAAAATATTATTTCTCATAAAAAAATTGTGTTGATTCGTACACTTTTCAATGAGTTATAGCATTATAAAGTTAAAAATGTAACCAACCCAACCCAACATCAACTCCTATTTCCTTAATTATATCCAGATTAGTAATTATTTTAATTATATATTATATAATTTTTATAATTAATTATTTTCAAATTATTATTGATTTTTAATATGTTAAAAGTAATCATTTTGAACCTACTTCTTTTTGTTCTTTAAAGTGAAAGTTTTAATAAAAAAAAAATGAATTTATTACCATAACTTTTAACTCAACTTGCAAGTTTGAAATAAATATTATTAAATAGAAAAAAAT